TACAAATCTTTTGACATTCTTTGAAAAGGTTACTGCTTATGTGGATAAGGGTAAGAGTTCAGATTTGGTGTATCTGAATTTTTAGAAAACATTTGACAAGGTGCCACATAAAAAGCTTGTAAAATATTATCTCTATAGATGTGAGGGATAAGTTAGCAAATTGGATAGAAGAATGGCTGGATGGAAGAAAGCAGAGGGTTCTTACAAATGGAGTTCAGTCAAACTGGATTAATGTTACAAGTGAGTTACCTCAGGGCTCAGTTTTAGCACATACTCTTTTTGATTTACATAAATGACATAGATGAAGGAATGATCAATAAGTTACTTAAATATGCAGATGATATTAAGGTCTTGGGTGTTGTTGGCTGTGAAGAGGATGCTGCTGATTTACAAAAGAGCTTTGATCATGTAGTGCATTGGGCAAATAAATGGCAAATGGGTTTTAATTATAATAAATGCATGTAGGTTATCATAATTTGAATTATAAATATATTTTGAATGGGAATAACCTTAACAGTGTCATGAAAGAAGGGGATCTTTGTGTAATAGTTGATCAGTCTCTTAAGTTATCCGAGCAGTGTGCTGTTGCTAGTAGTAAAGCAAATAGGATTTTAGATTGTATCTACAGAAATATTGAATACAAGTCTACAGAGGTTATAATTTCATTGTATAGGTCACTGGTTAGGCCACATTTGGAGTATTGTGTTCAGTCTTGGGTTCCTTACCTTAGGATGAACATTGAACTGTTGGAAAGGGTTCAGATGAGGGTTACTAGAATGGTGTCTGGGATAGAGGGGTTTTCATATGAGAAGAGGTTGAAATCTTTCAAATTGTTTTCTCTTGAAAAAAGAGTTAGGGTGGATCTTATTGAGGTGTTTAAGATTGTAAAAGGAATTTATAGTGTTTATGCATCATCTTTTTTCATACTTAACAGTAAGAATATTAGGACTAGGGAATACAAATATACATTTTGGCAGGGTAGGAGTAATATTTAGCTAAGACAGTTTTATTTTTCTAACAGGATGGTTGGCCTTTGGAATCGGTTGCCTTCGAATGTTGCGGAGGCAGTAAATTTAAGTGAGTTTAAGAGACAGCATGAGAAGTGTATGAATGATAAGGGCTGGCTTTAAGATTATTTTTTTAAACTTATTTATTAATAGTTTTAGTTAGTTTAAAGGATGGGACAGCCTAGATGGACCAATAGGTTCCGTGTTGTCCCAAAACATTATGTTATGTTATAAAACATTTTATTACAACATGCATACCAGAAACAAATGGCGTTCTTGGTGGTCACCACTTTGAGCAGAAATCTTAATGATCTTTCCTTCTTTGACAAGTTCTCGAGTTGGACTAACAAGATCCACAACATCGCCTATCATTTCTTGTACTTCAAGTAGTTTCTTAAACTTATCCTGGAACATAACAAGCATTATATTATTATTACAGAAAGAGAGATATTTCTTTCAATACAAAGACGTAATTTCTTTAAATAAATTTCTTTACAGTTTAACAATAGGATCTACCCAAATATGTAACAAAGTAAGTAACTGATGAATAATACAGAATTGAGGAAAAACAAGACAACTGTATGTGTCACAAATACATAATTTATTATGACCATGGTTTCACCAGTAAAGGCATCATCAGGTACGGGCCGAAATGTTTTGTAACAGGGTTTATATATATGTTTAAACAAAGAACCGGAAGTGACCTTGACATTAACCTAGAGACAAGTGGGGTAAGAAGTGGGGAGAAGCTTAAGTTGTATACCAGATTTCCACATTGTCTAGTTTTCTTACCTTTCAGATATGTAAAATATTGCAATTTTTTTTCTGATGAGTAATATTCAGTTTTTATTAATACATGATGAAGTAAAGTTAAAAAACTTAAATTGAATAGACCAATGAAAAATATATATAGGTTATTTCCATTCCAGTTGGATCAAGGTTCTCCTCAACTTTGTTTTTAGCATCTGAGAAGAGCCCTGTGCATTATAATTTCTTTTAAAATCACAGCATAGAGAATTGAACAAAAGGACTGATAAAAGTTCAGTAAAGTTTTGTTGTATTAAGAAACACTAGTGAAATTCTGGCCCGGCATGGCCAGGTGGTTAAGGCACTCGACTCGCAATCTGAGGGTCGCGAGTTCGAATCCCTGTCACACCAAATATGCTCGCCCTTTCAGCCATGGGGCATTATAATGTGACAGTCAATCCCCCTATTCATTGGTAAAAGAGTAGCCCAAGTGTTTGCGGTGGGTGGTGATGACTAGCTACCTTCCCTCTAGTCTTACACTGCTAAATTAGGGACGGCTAGCGCAGATAGCCCTCGTGTAGCTTTGCGCGAAATTCAAAAACAAACAAACAAACATTAAAATACTTTGAAATATGTAACATTATTCAGCAATTCCTGTGAAGTACATTATTTTTAAAGTAGAACAGTATGCATGTGTGTATATAATGATGTTTACTATAGTAGGTTACTATTGGAAATACATTTTCCGTATATAAAAAAATGTTAACTTCTCATACAATCTTACCTCCTTTCACAGAAAAATAAAATCCCATATTGCAAAGGTGGATGGACCAGTGTAGGCACTCAACATTGAAACCAAGTGGAAAGGAACTGGCCAGAATGAATGGGTGAGCTCCGAGATGAAACCAAAGTACACATGTTGGGTTCTGCACTACTTCTGGTACAGGTATGCTCTTTATCCTTGAAGCAGAAAATAAATCTGATACAAGCAGAAAAAAAAAAGTGCACTTGTGCAATTTGTTTGGAGAGATGCAATCCATTGTAAAATGTAAACTGAATGAACTATGTAGATACCCAACCTCAGCCAAATAGACAAGGTTCTATAACTCGTCCTCAGCATTAGGAGGTTGAGGATCAAAACTGTTATTGGATAACATAGACACAGTGGCAAGGGAATGTGGACCATGTTACATATACCCATCAACCCCAACCATAAGTAAACAGTGTCATGTGTCAAGCAAATGGAATTACGAAGAGGAACTTAGCAGTTAGCCAAAACGTTACAAACTCCCAAAACCACAATAGAGTGAGAAGTACAACAAACCAAACTCAGCATTATGGGGTCGTGGTGTTGCTTCAACCAAACTGTAAGAATAGGGCAAAATCTGTAACCTGTATTACGAGCAGAAATCATAACTCACCCAACCATTAATGCAAGGAAGAGACATCCTGTATCCAGAATTACAAGAAGGACATGGATCATTTGCTCAACTGTAGGAACAGTGTATATATACGTGTCATTACCAGTATTATGCGGCAGATGAAGTCCCCTAAACTCAACCATAGGAGCAGGGAAAGAACCTCTTGCAACTGAGTTAACGAGAAGAGGGGCCTCTACTGCACAAAAACCATAAGTACAGGGCAGTGTCATTCAGAACCCGTTATTATGAGGAGGATCCTGCATAGGCTGGTCATGCTCTAATTGACACTTGTCCATCTGGGAAAAAATTATCCAGGGGAAATGGAAAAAGAGAAATCAGCTTCACCCTCTTTTCATTGAGTGGAATATCATGGGCATGCATGTATGGTAAATTAAAATTCAACAACACACTCAGGAGAAAGTCTCCGTGGTTCACCTACGTTGTGACTGGGAAGTGGTAAGGGCTCCCTTGCTCCACTGAAAGAAAAAAAGGGGTAAGTAATTGCTTTGGGGAGTCTGGAGGAATGTCACAATGGGTATCTGCGAGCCTCTATTTTTAAAAGCAGACTGACCTCAATTTATTCAATCAAATGGTTGGCAGGGATGGAAAGAAATCCCCTTCTTCTTTACTCATGAAGTACACTTCCATTGAGTGGAACTTAGTGATATCTAGAAACATATGTATATACCACTGGTATGCCACCAGTGATCTTGCAGAAAACCCCATCTTTACTGTGAGTACTATAGTGCAATCAGTAAATAGTGTGGGTTTGAAGCAAAACATACCTGACCAGGCAACACCCACCACAGAGTGGGATCCTATTATCAGCAGTTAAAACTAGGGTTGCTGAAAATAGAAACATAAATGACAGAAAATGATAAGACTAACCCCAGTCAAAGGCAAATGGACATGTGTAGAACCACCATGGTATGGTAACAATATTTACCTGAGGAAAATATTGGGAGTAGTCCACATTCCAGCTTGAAAAATCTTCTCCAAGTGATGGCAAAGGGGAGAAGGCAAAGATAAGGTGATAGGACGAATATGATAAGAAGAAACGTTGTGAATACAGTGACCTTCCATAGATAAGTCCAAATACGCCAGCCTAATGAGTTATTGAACCCAACCAGTTAACCTGACAGGGGATAGATTTTGGGAAATGGAATGGGTAAGGAGTGAACTGGACAAAGAAGCTGATCAGAGCTGGAAAGGGAGTACAGGTGGGACATGGAAGGTAATGAAATGGGTGTGAAAACTAAACTGCCTTCAGGGGCAGCATAGGTCTGAGGGAGGAAGGACCAGTCGAGATATAGGATGATATAAGAGGAATGGTAAAGGATGTTGGTAACATTAATGGCATAAATATCTGATCGATGACGTACACAAGCAAGGAGGAAAGAAACAGGTCTTGAGTGAGAGATGGTAAATCATGTAAATCAATAGAACGTAGAGGATGCATTACTCAAAAGGAGCAGAAAAGGAGGGAAATGACAGGGGAAGACAAAAATATTAAGAAACTAGGAGAAACAGAAGGTGTTTGACAAGGCTGCTGGCAGCTAGACAAGATCAAAGTGGACAAGCCTTTGTCAAACAACCAAGTGAAAAATTGGGGAAAATAAGGAATGGATGGGTGGGAGGGACAGAAAACACGTTGAAGAGACCAAAGGCTGAAGATCAACCTTCGCCTTTGGTAAATGAACATACGAAGGTTTGATGAAATGGGAAGGGAAAGATAGAACACAATGAAGTCAGTTCCTGGGCTTAAGCAATGGACCTGACAAAAGCCATGCATGAAGACAGGGTATGGTGATGTCTGGATGAATAATGTCTGATTGAGGTTGACAGAGTAGAGGCTGAGACAGAAATAATAATACAGAAAGGTGTACAAGTAAAGGATAGATAGTTGGAAATGATTGTTGTGCCAGCCAATATGGAGCCACCAGTATGACTAGAGACAGAGTGGTTTGGAACTTTGGAAGAGAACTCTGTAGATGAGTCAAATAAGAGGGTAAGCATAGATGTGAAGAACTGTGGATCAAGATACCACTCTGAGGGGAAAATATTGTTGGGATGAGATAATAAAACCACAACCAGATTCAAGGCCCCGGGAATATGGCAAGCTAAGACCACAATTTGGTGACTGTGGGCTCAGAAAAGGAAATCCAGGATCTGAAATGACAGAGAACTAGAATTGGTACTTCCTTGCTTGGTGATAAACATGACCACTGTGGAGTTGTCAGAGTGTACCATAACCACCCTCCTCTGCATGATAAAAAGGAAGTGGGACAAAGCTCAACAAACGTCTATGAGCTCGTGAATGGTGATAAGGAGAAAATACTCCTTGATCAAACAGAGACTTGAAATCTCCTGGGAGTCAAGGTAAGCACCACTACCCTCTAAAGATGAGTCCATGAACAGATGTAAATCCAAATAAGGTGGAGGAAGCAGCACATCTGCCACTGTCTGGTCTCTGTCTAATTACCAAGCCAGATTGGCTCTGATCTGGGAATGAAGGATAAAAAGGTGGTTCAAATGATCCAAGCAGGAGTTCCACTGATCTAAGAGCGTCCACTGAAGGAAACACATATAAGTCCAACTTATGGGTATGAAGCTTCCAATGAAGCCCACATCCACAAAAGAGATAGAACCTCTCGAGCTGTGAAAGAATGTGAGGAGAGGGTTTTGTAAACAAAGAGGTGAAGCTGGGCCCAACTGAGGTAAAAATGAAGGAAAACCCCAAATGAATGGGGAATTGAGTAGGGGTAAGAAAGGATTCCCACCCTTTCATCAGGAATCCTACCAGTGATGCTTGTTGTAGGAACAGAAGAGTATGGTCTCTGGACTATAAATGGGAAGAAGCAAGCAGTAGCCAATCATCCATGTAAAGTCTGTTTGTAATAAAGCACAAAGCTACACAATGGGCTATCTGTGCTCTGCCCACTACTGGTATCGAAACCCAGATTTTAGCATTGTAAGTCCACAGACATACCGCTGTGCCACTGGGGGCATCCATGTAAAGATTAGTGTAAAGACCAATCGAGAGAAGATGTTGGGCAAAGGCTCGTAATACCCAGCAAAACACTTAATGAGCTTAGGTTAGTCTAAACAGTAGGGCCCTGAACAGGAATACTCAACTCTGAGCAAAAAATAATTATCGACAATGTGAGAACTGTGGGGATGAACTTGGAATTGTAGATTATGTGAAGAAAATTTGGTTTCTAGTATCAAGAACATCGGAAAGCTCAACCATACGAACAGGAAAGAAACAAACATTCCAGCAACGTAGCAAAGCAAAAATATTTAAGTTCTACACTGACGAAAAGTAGAGTTATAAGGCATATAGTTAACAATGATGAATAAAATTCATCTAGATAGAACGAGGAAATAGATGGTACTAGTAGTACTTGTGAATATCGAACTGACAAACCATCTAAATTCATCTAGTCCACAAAGTACGTAATAATAAAGAACGTGCAAACCGACGAAATTTACCGATAAAACAAAGTAATAATCAATATCTAACTTACAATTCATCTAAATTAAATTAGATGATAAAGGACACAAGTAAGGCCAACACTGGTGATAATTAGGATTATAAAACACATATTTAACAATGGCAAGTAAAAAATTAGACAGAGAGATCTTAAATATGTAGAATTATATGTGACTAGCAGTAATTATATGTAACTCACAAGCTATCTAAACATACATAGTTAAAGTACTTATTAATATAGAACTGACAAACCCTCGAAATTTACCGAGTCTACAAGACATGTAATATTAATGAACGTGCAAAATGACTAAACTTAACTATAAAAACTAAGTAATAAACAATTTCTAACTTACAATTCATCAAAATTAACTTAGACTACAAAGGACACATAAATATCTAAATTAACAAAATCCGAGCACTGATGATATGAAATACTTAAATCTTCCGTGTATAAATAAGGATAAAGCCACACAAAGGGCATCTGAGCCGTGCCTACCATGGGTATAACTAACATGTGGTAAGTGTACAAGTCGAAACCTCCACCAAAGTGAACGGAATGGCAGCACAACATCTAGAGCAGGAAAAAGAAAACTAGCGAAATCACCAATGTCTCAAACATACAGCAAAACCAAAATATGCGTCGACCGACGACTCGATTAAACAGCTTTAAAAAATAGAAGGGGAAACTCCTAAAGAGGTGTAGAGTGTGTTAGACCAAAATAAAATGGTGCTGGAAAAAGAGAGTCCAAATAGGCTTCTGCTTTATTGTATCTTTCCTTAGAAACATTGTCAAGTTGAAAAGAAGAAGAAATCGTCAGCCGAACAAATCAATCTAGTTCTTAGCCAATTAAGGCCTGTATCTCTTCTGCAGATAAGTTGAACCCATAGCGTTTTCTACTCAAACGGAAATTTCCATACTCGATTCACTGAATCGCGAATTCATACTAAGATCTCTTATAATTCGGTAACAAAAAGCAAAAAATAAAAAATGTTGAAACAGTTGAATGCAAACACAGTAAAATAAAACTGTTGAAAAAAAATTAAATGGCAAAGAAGCATAATCATAAACAGGATCCACATGCGTAAAAACACACGTCTAAACAATGCTGTGCCAATCGAGAAAGTGGGGATTGAATGGGAGCTAGCTGCGCCAATATAAGTGGCGGAATACTATTGGCGGAGAGTATGCTATTCACATGCAATGCACATGTTCAATAGTGGCGTGAAATTGGTGAGATATAAGCTAATAATAAATACTGGTGTGCTGAGCGTAAAAGCTTTTTCACTTTTCAGCAAGGCTTAGAAAGCCGTATGGGAATGAATAATCCGAGGAGTTTCAGTTTCTACTCCACATACAGGCCTAGAACTGATAATCAGTTCAATTTCTACTCCATATACAGGACTATAACTGATAATCATCTCAATTTCTACTTTTATATCTTGTTTTTGAGAGTGCAACTATCAGATTTATAAGTTTGTTAAAACAAACTGTACAGAGTGTTGTACAAATAAGTTTGAGAAAGACTCTTAACGATGTATAATTAATCTTTAACAACCTTTACAATAAGGAGTTTCTTCTTCAAAGTTCAAGTTCTAGGTAGCTTGGGGTGAATACTTACTTTCTTGAAGTTGTATAATGTTAAAGTACACAAAATTCATATTAGATTCTAAAAATACACTTTAAAAGTTCTGACAACAAAATGAAAGATTTTGTAATAATAATCCCTTAAAAGTTATTATAAAATTACTCACAATTTTCTTCATAGCCTCATTTGCATGTATAGCTGCTGTAGACACCAGCTCAAGAGCTTCTAAAAGAGGTAGTCAATATTCATATAATAAATGTAACTTTGTATTCAGAACAAAATAAGAAAAAGATTTATATTAACAAACTAACAAATACTCTTTGAAATACAAAATTTTTAACTGAATTTATGTGCTATTGTGCCAACTAAAATATAATTAAATCCATACTGATTAATGTTTCATATTGCATATTTAACAAAAGCAATTGTAATTATTAAATGTTAAAGAGAAGACTTAATAAAAGTTTACAGTTTGTCACTATATTAAATTACTACTTAGCATAAATTGATCAAAATTTTCATGAAAGATATAAGATTTTATTAAATTACAGTTCTTTTCCAATATATATCACTTTACTAAACTGTGGTTCTTATTGAAAACATCATACTTCTCTACTAAATTACTATACTTTGAAGTAATATTAAATTTTCGTGATAATAAACCACTCTCATAATGCACCCATTCCTCCAAGGTGCAGAGCACAATTTTGCAGCAATGGAACACAGTTAGAAGTAGATTATAAATTCTCCTGATCACTCCTCAAATGTACTTATTTGAAGTAAGCTTGAAAACAGTGTTAAAAATTTTATATTTCTATACTAAACATTAATTTGAAATTAACCTGAAAACACTTTTCAAATTTTTATATTACTCAACTAAACAACAGTTTTGAAATAAAGTTGAAAATATTACAGTTTGAAGTAAACCTGAAAACTGTTCAAAATGTAAAGTAGGTTTACAGTAAAAGTATAATGAACTACAATAAGAATTTAGTAAATCTATAGTAAAACTACAATAATTTTGGAGGAAATATACAAAGCAACTAAAACTGTGGTAAACAGTAATTAGTAATGCAGTAAAACTCCAATAAGATTACTGGAACCTTCAAATGAAATGATAGTAAACATGCAGTTCACAGTTAAGACTCAAATAAATGCAGAAAAATATATTGTTACGTCTCTGTTCGTTTGTTAATTTCCCGTAAAAATTCTTTCCGAAGAACTTCAGCGATACAAGTCCTTTCTTAAATAAAACTAGTTTATTCTTTGTCAATACAACTTTGCAATACACAGAATTTCCACAGTCACTTTAACTTAAACACTCGCTATAATTCACAACGATTCACGCACTTTAGTTATGGTCAATTATTGGCTACAAATCTCGGTCTTTCTCCTGTTCTGCTTGGATAACTATACTTGGTTCCACTTCACCGTCATCAAATCCAGTCACTTTGACTTCAGCTTGATGACACCTGGTTATTTCAACTTCTCTTTTAACACTTACCGGAATTTGGCCTTTGTTGTTCCCAAACGTCATTTTATCAAAATTAACTACACATTTCCTCGGTAGTAAGTAATCCAACCATAATATGCATTGGTCTTCAATGTCAGCCAAGTATACTTTCTGTCTGTTCTTCATGCCCATGAGCTCAACAGTTACCCACACTGGTCCCCACAACCTTGCATAATGTCTTGTCACACCACAGAGCTTCTGTATGGCTTCTGGTACTCCTTTGTGATCTAGCACCTTGATACTCTGCTGAGATGCAGAATCTATGACAAAGTTGCACTTTTGGCCATTAAACTTTCCTGTCACGTAGAAAGTATGTATGCTTGCCATTTTACACTTAGCTGTTGGGACTTTCACAATGGGGGTTGGTGGACGTCCCTCAGTACCAACCACTACTGGTTTCCCGAAGCTGACCTATTGGTAGTATTCTTCTTACACTGGCTCGTCACATGTCCTTGCTCTCCACAGTTCCAACAACCTTTCTTGGTAGCAGCCTTTCCTGCCGTGGCATCTTCCCTGTGTTGAAGTTGCCAGCATTGAGTTCTCTTGTGCCCAGGTTTGTTTCTGGCCTTGAATCTTGATGACTGTACCAACCTTGGTACCTCTGTGCTGGACTTAACATAGGGTTCTAATTCAAGAGCTCTGGCCATTGCATCCTGCATAGTAGAGGGGTGTGCTTGCTTCACTTGTATCTTCAGTCGTGGACTGTCCAAGGTGTCTACAAACTGATCCCTCAGCAACAGTGATACATGTCCTTTCTTAAATAAAACTAGTTTATTCTTTCTCAATACAACTTTGCAATACACAGAATTTCCACAATCACTTTCACTTAACACACGCTATAATTCACAACGATTCACGCACTTTACTTATGGTCAGTACCGCTCACTTGACTCAGTTATCTGGCTCTATATCTCTCTTCAATCTGCTATTATATATCTGCCTTATTTGCCGGGCTTATATACAAAAAAAGAAAAAGAGGGCACCTAGAAAAGACTAGAGTTGCCAGGAAAAGTCAAGATCCTTCGAGAATCTTATGACGTGTTAACAGCATCACGTGACTTCCGTTGTCGTAACAATATAGATATAACAATTTTTGCATCATATTTAATAGGGAGAAGTATCCACCATCAATGTAGTTACTCTACAAAATAGTAGAATTGACAGTCACATTTATAACACCCCTAAAGCTAAAAGTGCAGAGCTTATTCAGTGGCATATTGTGGATCAAACCTTGGACCTTTCGATCCATAGCTAAGCATGCCAGCCAGTAGGCCAAGCATGGTCATATTTTGGAGAAGTTTAGATAGAAATTCAGTAATGGACTTCCAAAATAAATGACTTTCTTGTACTTCAAATACTTATAGGAGCAAGTTTTGTGAATATAACAGGCAATCTTATAAGAATTATACTCACTTTCAGTATCAGCCTTGTCTGGTGAGTTCTCTGGTAATTTTTTCAAATAATCTGAAAATAATGAAAAGAAATTATAAGGTAAAACACAAACGTGGTTATCTTCTCCTCTACTTTGACAAAGGGTATCCCTATTTGATATAGATTTATGGAAATGTGTAAAATCTTCAAAAAATATTTTGATATTTAAATACTAATACTATCGTAAGATTTAAAATATTTAATAAGACAGTTTAGTTTCTTAATTATATGAAGATACTTTATTGTTTTATTTTGTAGTTATAAAAATAGTGTTGTATATTCTACTATGATGATCCACTTACTCCAGAATTGTAATACAAAATTCTATACTAACCTTTCGGAGTTTAACAAAGTTCAAACTCATTATAGTTATTGTTTTATAAGTAATTTTACTGTTATGACACAATGAAGTATATGCTCTTCTGTACTTTTTTCGTTGCTTCTTTGAAACTTCTATCAGAAATTGTATAATTCAAAGCATATGAAACAACAAGATTCATTGAAAATTTCTGACTAATGTATTTTAGGTGCCATATCGTAAGAGGAAGAAACGTATAAAAACCAGAATGAATTCAAGCTATCTTGAATCACGATAATGGTCTATAATAAGGATCCCAAGGAATTGCACACGATCGAAAAAAGCACCTTAAACAGTAAAGATTCAGTTCAAACAACATGTTACGTCTCTGGTCGTTTGTTAATTTCCGGTATAAATTCTTCCCGAGGAACTTATATACAAAAAAGAGGGCGCCTAGAAAATACTAGAGTTGCCAGGAAAAGTCAAGATCCTTCGAGAATATCATGACGTGCTACCGGCGTCACGTGACTTCCGCTGTCGTAACAAACACTTTAAAACTTTTCCTATTGACTGCTGAGGCTGTACAAATATAAAAATGCACATAAAAGCACGCATGTTAGACTTACAAGGGCAAGAAAATCTGCTCAAAACTCCCTGTTTGTAATTATTTTGCTTATTATTATTATTTTCTTCCAATCTACAACAAAAGCTGATTGCCTTTGTAGAATACCAAATATGGTTCTGCAAAGGTCGTAGGTGTATTGAAAAGTCGATTTGTTTCTTCTATATTTTATAAAAGCAAAAACAACATTATAATTCTAGTGTAAATGATGTTATCATTACCCCTTGAATTTAGCTTTCTTACAAATATCTGGTGTTCCTTTAAAAAGCTTAAGGACAGGATGAAACAGGAATTACCAGCCAATAATAAATGAACATTAGATGACATTAACATCTAGATACTCAATGCTTTGTACACCATACAATCGGTGTTTTTAGGGAATCAACCTCTATATTATATATGAAGTGAAGGAGTAAAAAAAAATCAATACACATAATATGAAATTTTATTAAATACATTCGGACACGGAGGTTTATATAAAATGATGTTTTAGACTTATATATCTTATTTGAAAAGGTTGCTTTGCTACTGGTAAAATCTTTTATAGGAGCTTAGTGGGAGTTGTGTCTTAGTCTAGGCATATATTTGCCCGTTGCTATGCATTATACATAGACTTTAGTTGAACAGAAACTATAAATGCTCACTATATTATCAATCAAATCTCTAGTTGCAGCTTAACATTTTACATCTCGAACTAATGTAATCAAGTAGTCAATAGCTACAGTAAATAATCATGAACCGTATCAGCTAGCTATTATCTGTGTTTATCGTCATTACAGTGTATAAAGTTAGCTATCATATCAAGTATTCGTATGCCCATAGTTGAGCATAAAAAAAAGCCAGCAAACACGATAAATAAAAAATTCGGAAATTAAAAAACAAACAAATAGGGATAATAAAAAAGTAAAGAAACAAGGCTGCAGATACTGTAGACATTGTTTACTCAAATTACAAATCCCTATTTTGACTCCACCAAAAGTAATTATAGGTAACAGCATGGACCCAAAATAGAGGTTTGTAGTTTGAGTAAGTAATGTCTACAACAGTATCGCCAGCCTTGTTTCCTTGCTTTTTACAATCTCTATTTCAGGTTTTTAAATTCCCAATTTTTCTATTTATCTTGTCCATCTTAAATTAATATAATTTAGTTTTCTTAGAATAAATATGACATTAAAACAACTTAGCACGTCGTGGTAAGATGAAAAGACACTCATTTGTCCTTCAGAAATGCCTGCAAAGATTCCTACCTTTCAGCAAGAGCTGATATCTTGGGACTCTCTGAACAGGAGTCAGCAAATGGTGTTGTAAAGTTAAGTTTCCACACTCTTCCATTCTCTGTCAAGAATATGTTTGGAAATGTTATACGATGGTTAAAAGTGTTTTCAGAAAAATGAATTAACTAAAATAATATCATATTAAATCTTTAATTTGTCATGAATCAAGACTGCCTTAAAAAGTAAAATATTTGTAAAAAAATATTATTATTAATACAAGCATAGTAATCAATAAAAGATATTTATTTTGTCAGTTCATATTCTTAAAGTACATTTCAATAAGTTCTTTGTACTAAAAGTTATAACGGTGCTACTACAGCGTGCGGTCTACCGGGACTTTTACACTATAGCGTGCGGTATGATCATCATATAAACAAAACATATAAAGATGTTGAATAATAGCAATCTACCTGGGATATTTACACTGCTAAATAATTTATTAATGATGAATAATAGCAGTCTACCTGGGATATTTACACTGCTAAATAATTTATTAACGATATTAATGACGAATAATAGCAGTCTATTTACCTGGGATATTTACACTGCTAAATAATTTATTAATGATATTAATGATGAATGATAGCAGTCTACCTGGGATATTTACACTGCTAATTAATTTATTAATGATCATTAATATGATTAAAAACAAAATTGTGCTACATAATTATTTTTAATGACATACACTTCGTATCACATCCTTACCAAATGATTTACATTTAAATCCTTTAACGATATGCACTTCGTATATCATATACAAATGCCACAAATAAATCATCTGCATCTTTTTTTAGCACTTTCCAGCAAATGTGATCAAGGTGTGATTGAAACAGCTCACTGCTAACGCCTCTCATTTTCTTTAGAATGAGTATTTTGGTATCCAACCATGATCGTTCAATCGCTTGCGTGTTTGCTCCTGTCACTGGATCCACATAATTGTGCTACATAAAATAATTATTCAGCAGTGTAAATATCCCAGGCAGACTGCTATTATATATCATTAATAAATTATTTAGCAGTGTAAATATCCCAGGTAGACTGCTATTATTCAACATCTTTATATGTTTTGTTTATATGATGATCATACTGCACGCTATAGTGTAAAAATCTTGGTAGACCGCACGCTATAGTGTAAAAGTCTTGGTAGACCGCACGCTATTGTGTAAAAGGTCAGGTGGGTCTTGGTAGACTACAAATACCGCGGTAAACCGCACGCTATAGTAGCACCGTTATAACAATGTGGTGTATGAATATACCATGGGTTTCTCTATCTTTTTATAGTATCATATTTATTCTGAAATCCTCCTTTGTTCTAAATGTTTGCACATTTTATGTGATACACGGTCAAGAAAATCGTTAACTTGATCTAGTTTCCTTTATTGTTCTCAGAAGTATTAGATACCTGTTATCGCCCAGGGTGAAAATTGCTTAACCCCATGTGGTTGTGTGGGGGGTCAAAGTGCGTATGTCAAGACCTTTTACAGAGCATCAATTGACATGGTATTATGTATTTGATGTCAAGATTATCAGCTATTTATATTAGTGATAAATATTCATTTCGTAGGTACTAGAGTTTATTCAAACACAATATATTAAAAACGATGGACAAAGGTATTTTATTCTTCACAGACATATTTTGAGTACAAATTATTTTGGAACACATTTGATATTTCGTGTTGACATAGTAGCACATTCGGAATTATAGTCAACGTTCCTTCTCCAATACGGGGTTGGTCCATTGGATCGACATTATGCACGTTCGGTTAATATGATACATTGCAAGGATGTAGACAGATGATGTCCAGAGGTTAAGCACCAGCAATGTTGTAATGATAATAACCAGTCAGTCACGTGGGTAGCGTATCGTGCCGGGTAAAGGCCAGGTATTTTTGAAATTAAGAAAACATATATTTGGTAGTCTGTTCTGGAACATTCTAATAGAACTTGGTCGTCAGTTGACAATCGAATGATCCAGTGAAAACTACAGTACATATGTTTAAAATATCTAAGAAGGTATACATACTGTGTTTGTGTTTCGTTAAGTAATAAAGATTGTTCATTTTCTGTTATACTTTATATCCAGTTTCTTCATTTCATTTAACACCAATCCAGTCAGTAACAGTTTTAGAATTACTCTGTAGTCGATATCTTTATTGAGTCTCTGGTAAACAAGTGGACCTATTTTGTGTAGTTGCAACATTAATTCAGTTCTACCTGTATATAACATAAAAGCAAGTCCTCGAAAAGCAGTACTTACATGAATGTCGTCCATTATCTGGCTAAAACGAGGTTGTTTGCTGTACCACAAGTTGATAAGGTTCATGGAGTTATCATAATTTTTAACGTACTCAGTGTACATTTTTAAAAAGGGGGCAAAGTTCTTCATGATATCCCCTATTCTTCTTTCTGTTTCCCTGAAATATATAATTTATCACAGAAAGCGTCATTCTTGCCACAAAAATATTAATCAAATTGTTTTAATTTTAATGACATATGATCACTGTACATTTTAAAAACATTTGTGTAACATAATATAATCCAGTTCTTTAAAATAACTAAAGCAATTTGTTCGCAAAGAAAAAAAAAGAGTTTGTATGTTGTTCCTCTTGATTTACCATCACAAAACTTTAGGTCCATAAACTACAACTAATCGAAACAGTTAAAACAAACATATTACAATTTATTTTTTAGAATATGTTCTTCGTAAACTTCTTATACAAATCTAAGCTTCAGAAATATTTAAATATAAGAAATCTTCAATGTATATAAAACTGAAACATTGGTCAAAATTAAAATCAAGGAAGAACATAAGCAAGTTTGTGCGTTAGAACAGAGGTGCCATTTCTATAATATAGACATAGTTGTTATAAAACACTACCATTTCTCCAGTCGTTCCTTAAGCTGAGGAAGTAAAAAGTCATGGTGGAGTTTGTAGAGTGGTTTGAGATTTGAGAACATCTGTGTAACAACTTCCTGTGAAAACATTGGGTGAGCTCGATTTTCTTGATCAACACGGAAAGCGAAGACCTGGTCCAGCAAGTACAGGATTGATACATATGTTCTTTCGGTTGTCAGAATCTCCAAAGCAATCTTGTGAAGAACTTGATGCATCTTGTCCATTTTCCCTTTCTTATTGTCATGCTGTGAAAATGAATAAGAAAAATTAAGATTTAATATCAATGAAGAACTTCAAAAAGTTTACATTCAAAGTTTGGCCACAAAACAGTTTCGGGTATCAGATAGCCAACATACACAACAAAAAATATTGTGACAGATACGATAGGTAACTTATGGTAATTTGCTTTGAGGTTATAACCAATAGATAACTCAACAACGTTCATATCTTGGTTTATTAGCCGTACGTATTTAATTTGGAAGTGGTACACAAGAGGGAAGACAGTTAGTCAACACCACTTTTCGCCAAGTCTTAGTCTATTCTTTACCAACATTGTTCCTCTTGATGTACCAGATAAAATTTAGTTACATAAACTACAAGTGACCAAGCTAGTTAAAACTACAAGTGACCGAGCTAATTAAAACAACTGCATTAAAATTTAGTTTGTAGAATATGTTCCTCATCAACTTTTCACACAAATCTGAGCTTCAGGAATATTTAAAGAAATCTTTAATGTATATAAAACTGACACAATGATCAAAATTAAAATCAAACAAAAACATATGAATGTTTGTGCATTAAAACAGATGTACCATTTCTACACATAGAAATAGTTGTTTTAAAACACAATAATTTCTCCAGTTGTTCTTTAAGCCCTCACGGCTGAAAGGGTGAAATTTTGTTGGTGATGAGTTTGATTCTGCGACCCACAAATTGCGAGTCAAGCGCCCTAACCATCAGGCCAAGCCAGATCTGCTGTAGAAAGTAAAGGTAAGAGAGGCAGTGCAGCAGAAGTACGAATGTAATGGCTACTGGAAACAACACCAATCCATAACAATACTAAGATAAAGATAAAACCACCTACTACGTGAATATACTATCTCTACATACATGCTTTGTACCTTCCACATTTTGGGTTTCTGTTTCTTTGGTGGATCATGGAATTGAAATCTGCCACAAATTAATGAATACTCTATATGCGTAACATTGCATATAATTATTTCTTCCATACTCTACAAAAAGTCATTGAAAGTGGCCTTCCATTTTCTCTCAACTTTGGAGCAAATTAACGTGTTCAAGATTATTTACAGCAGTTAAAACAATATTTACCCATCATTTTATGTTTTTTATAATATATAAATCATTTCGGGCTCTTAATGACGCCCCCAGTGGCACAGCGATATGTCTGCGGGCTTACAACGCTAGAAACCGCGTTTAGATATCAGTGTTAAGCAGAGCATAGATAGCCCATTGTATAGATTTGTGCTTAACTACAAACAAACAAACTCTTAATGACCTCTATCGTTTCATGATCATTTATGTTCATGAATTTAATCTTCTTTGTAATGTTAGATAAAATTATTTGGTTGCAATTTTGATTACCAAATATAGTGATTGAGTATGTTATATTAAAACGCTTTTAGAACCTCCTCATGTCATTACAGGCCATGTCGCCACATTCTATGATCTGACAACAGTCTTGCGGCGTAGTTTCATTGTGAAAGATTCCATCTTAAGGCTGTTATGCATAAAGAAGTACACTCCTCCATACTTGATTTCCATAATCCATCTAGTGTACAAAGGCAATGGTTTTCCAGCGCCCAGTTCGACAGTTCGATAACACAGAAACCGATAGACATTGCATCCGGTGACTTGACCAGTATGTTTTCGTATAGAATAGCATGAATACTATTTAATCCTGATCCTTGAAGTATGCATTATTTGAACGGGAGGTATGACTGGAAACCTCATCTTTGCGAAGCCATACCCTGTTGGCCTCGTTTACAGACTTATGTTGTGTACTGTTGCCTGGGGCACGTGGAAGGCTCTTGCCACTGATTTTTTTGTGTTTATGGATCACCAGCTGTCAGAAGATACTTACTACGGCTGGAATACGTCTTGTTAGAGGTCCTTTCCTGGATAGTCCTGGTACACAAAGTGATCCACACTCCTTTATTTCCCAATGCCATTAAATGTAAGCGATATCTTCGTCCTGGAAATTATAAATCTCTGATATGAAAACATCTTTGTGATGTTAGTATATAAACTGTTTGCGTCGGGAAGGTCTGTTACATACTCTTCTCAAGAACAAACAGTTTTCAGTGAAATCACATTACCTGCGAATGATAAACGATGTCAAAATGGATTCTGATATATATAATTCCACATATCGGCTGCGATTGTCACGTGACTTGCTGATTTGCATATTCAAAATCGTTTTAATATAACATATTCAACCCTCTGTGTATTGTAAGCCATTTTAACAAAAGATATTTGAGGAACTTGAATGCTCTGTACACGTAATTAATAAATGTGACTTGAGATGCTTTATTTCAAAAATAGAAAGGTATTCCTTTTCTTTCTATCTAGTCGGCAATGAAGGATTGTAATGATTAACTACTATTTCTAATAGAATTTTTATAAGAACACAAAACTATACTTGAACAGAATATAAACATCGAAGAAACTTTTTTCTTCTTGATTATATAAACATAATAGTCTAAAATATTATTTACCTACATATGTATACTTCTTTAAACCCAAATAGAACACTAGAATGTTAAAAGCGTTAAATTTGATCAGTTTGTGTTTTGAATTTCACGCAAAGCTTCACAAGAGCTAGCTTCGCTAGCCGTCCCTAATTTAGCAGTGTAAGACTAGAGGGAAGGCAGCTAGTCCTCACCACCCACCGCCAACTCTTGGGCTACTCTTTTACCAACGAATAGTGGGATTGGCCGTCACATTATAACGTTCCCACGGCTGAAAGGGCGAGCATGTTTGGTGGGACGGGGATTCGAACCCGCGAGCCTCAGATAGTGAGTCGAGCGCCCTAACCACCTGGCCATGCCGGGCCTTTTTACTCTGCCCACCACGGGTATCGAAAACCGGATTCTAGCGTTGTAAGAACGCAGACATACTGCTGTGCCACTGAACTTTTTTCGAACGAAAAATGGTGACTGCATTTTATATAAAGGATCAAATGATGCTCGACTCGCAATCTGGGGGTCGCGGGTTCGAATTCCCGTCCCACCAAACATGCTCGCCCTATCAGCCATGGGGGCGTTATAATGTGACGGTCAATCCCACTGGTCGTTGGAAAAAGAGTAGCCCAAGAGTTGGCGGTGGGTGGTGATGACTAGTTGCCTTCCCTAAGTCTAATACTGCTAAATTAGAGACGGCTAGCGCAGATAGCCCTTGTGTAGCTTTGCGCAAAATTCAAAACAAACAAACAAATCAAATGGTGACGTATAATTTCACATTCTGACAGACAGGTAGGTTATTATAAATACATATTAATACTTGTAAATATTTAAACAGCGCGATTTAAAGATCGTAAATTACACAATAAGATGAACATAGATTTTCAAGGAACAGAGAATCGGTGATATAGCACATGAAGCAAACAGTATAGTTTTCGCGTTAGTTACATTAATAATACTAATTAAAATGTTTAATATATATGTTGTATATTAATTTTTATTATTTTGAATTTATGTTAAATCATTTTTCTGTTATTATTATGAGGATCATTTTTATTGTTGGCTCACTTTATATCTTCTTAGCTGACTGAAACTTCTGGGATGTTACTGGGATTATGGGCAAACTTATTCCTGACAGAAAGGGTACCCAACTGCTGAATTAATAAATACTAATCATAACATGCTTTTTAATGATATTACATTCTCCCAGTTAAACCATAATATCAAATTAGCTATACATAATAATTACTGGGTTCATTTTGAGTTCTGATCTATGTAGCTTTCGCTAATCGGGAGTTATCGATATGAAAGACATACTGATATAAAAGCAGATATGAACAGAAATACATAATATTTGTTAGATAGATTGGTAGGCAGATAGTGAAGACAGGTTAAAAGACAAACTGATAGGTAATTACATAAAATGTACTGATAGAGTAATAAGTAAGCAGATAAATGAGATAGCTATATACATAATCACAAGCTGAACAGTCAGCTAGAGAAACTATATAATTTATCGACAGATATGTAGATAGATATTCACCTCAAGAGCCATCAAACAACCTGAGTCATTACGAATGTCCACATCTTGTACACTGTTATCATCAAACTCACTGGGTTCTCCAGTTGTGCTAGTTGCATCTTCCAGTGACTCTTCCTCGTCTTCACTCTCCGAGATGCTCTCATAACCTTGTTCATACCTCTGTATCACATGTTCAGTGCTAAACCTGGTGAAAAAGCCTAGAATGAATATTTATATCAAAGAAGATTCAAGCAAGACTTTTCTGAAAATTATCTAACTCTATAAAATTCTCTCACAAATTCAGCTATAAATCTGAGGCATGAAAGTTAAAGCCTGTTAATATCATAATAATTAGAATCAGTCCAGCATAATGTAATACGTTACTTAGCATTAACAAGTTAAATCAGTGGTTCTCAATCTGTGGATGTGATGCGTGGGCTCCCTTCAGATGTATAGAGGTAAGGTTGAATAATTATGAAAAGGACGCGGCAGTATACTGTATAGATCCCATTGTAATACACAAAGAAAAAAAGAAATCAGGTGGTCCGCGAACAAAAAAGTTTGAAAACCACCGAGTTAAATAACACAGAAACGAGTAACACATGTGTGGAACACAAATATCACAGTCTATAAACTTTATTAACATTCTTTCTTATTTTGTATGCGTCTGATAACCGTTAGTCGCGTGTCTATACACGCAGTATTTTTTGAAAAAAAAAGGAAATTAAAGATTGTGTTCCACTCAACAGAGTTGAATACATACGTTTGTTACACCTCCTGGAAATATGATACCTATTACATCAAACGGTTAAAGGCAGAAGTTACAAGGCATTGATTAGTCAACATTTAAGAGCATTACTTATAGGAAATGTTGGATGGTCTCCCAATTGTGTACGTTTTCTCGTGAGCAAATATATTTCATTTCACATCTTTTTAATTCTTTATTGTAAACCTGAAATACGTCATTGTTAATATTACATAAATATGTCACTTTTAGTTAGAAGTTTTATTTTTGTGAATACAGACTTAGATATATATTTATTACCATCATTTTGTTTGAAAAAATGTGTTCCAAACTGTTCAGTCGTTAAAGTTGGAACGGAGTTTACTGTACTACTGTATCCATTACGTGAGGTTTACTGTACTACTATGCAAATTACCGTGGGGTTTACTGTACTACTATACCGACTACCATGCAATTTACTGTACTACTATACCCATTACTATGTGATTTACTGTACTACTATACCTACTATCATGGAGTTTACTGTGCTCACTATTATAGGTTTTACTGTACTACTAAACCCACTTTTATTTTGAACACTGCAGCAAACAGCTGTAACAAGCCAAAATTCAAGAAGTTTGCTACGTAATGCACGATATTTTCTCGAGACTGAGAGAAAAATACATGCAACCAGCAGTTCCTTATTTACAGTATAAAAAGAAAGTTATTAAACATATTAATTTATATGACAAAAAAAAAGACAAAAATATGCTGACTTGCTCAAAATTGGCATTACGTTTACGTTAAAACTGGTTATAAACAAGTATTGAGAATCACATTAATTTAAATAGCAAATAAACTTATATACAGTTAAATGTGATTTCCGTCCATTTATACATACAAATATCTACAGTATATAGCTTATTATTACAATATATGTTTGACCTACTACAAATCGTTTAATTCTGTTCAAATATATAAAAAACTATTGAGCCTTAAAATAATATTAAATAGCCTAGTGAATATATTTAATTATATAACTTAATTGGTAACATCACAGCTGTGTGTGGACAATTTTAGGGTTAACAAGAGAGTACTTTCCCACTGACACCAAATATCAGGATATTATAGTGAAAAATTGTTTGTTTGTAATTAAGCACAAAGCTACACAATGGGCTATCTGTGCTCTGCCCACCACGGGTATCGAAACCCGGATTCTGACGTTGTAAGTCCGCAGACATACCGCTGCATCACTGGGGGGCATAGTGAAAAATAACCAATTGTTAATCACAAAAATATCGATATAATACAATTTTCCCCATCATTTCAATTGTTGATGTTCAAATCTATCACTGACTTGACCTGGTCAAGTACGTTCTTACTTCAAGAATTGTGATGGATATGCTTGACAAGATTAATTTACCCTTGTTTTAATATTTTAATTAATTTTTATGTCTGTTATAGACCATCGTTACAAATAGAATATGGGTGCTTTAAAACAAGGTTATTTTTTACGCAAGTCACATTTTACTAAAACATTTATTTATTTACATGTTTTGTAATATTTTCATTAAAAAAGATAAATCACCAGATGATACGAAACTGCAGCGATCTTGTCGTCCAAGTCGACGTATTGTAATCAATCTGGGCAAAGTTCACTTTTTCTGCCTCTTTATTAATCATGTACAACTAAGTATACCAAACGTTCCTCAGTGGCTACAAAGGCGAACAGAAAATAAACCAAATAAGGTATAGTTTCATATGCCAGGGAAAAGCACTTATTATAAAACTGTTTAGAGAAGAAAAATAAAATGAAAACTATGTGAGGCACAAACTACATTTATTGCTAGGAAGGGTAACATAAAAACAATAAACTAAAGGATTTGCAAGTAGTTTTTAGGTGCATATGTATTTAAAAAGTAATTAGAATGTAATAAAAGTTAGCAATTGGATGACCATTCGTCCGATTTTTCATTACATGAGGGAAGAAAACAAAAAATGTGTTAACAGAAAACTATACGTAGTCAATTTACATCACGTTTATGTATAATACAGATAAATAACCCTAACAGGCAAACACATTGAACTCACTGACGTTATACATTTGATATATTAATTATACATGTGATACTTAAATCGGACATATAATTTTCAACGTGCTACATATAAGGTACTGGCACCATTCACTATCTGTTCATTTCTGGTATCGTTAGATAGTTTCAAAACATTTAAGTTGCGTAAGATTGTTTTTATATTTATCTATGCATTGACATTTTATATTAAACACCAGCCATGTTTTAGGCCTAGTTTATCTGCATAATTTGTTCCAAATCTATGAGTAAGTCATATCTAGTACAAAAATAGGAGAGAACCAATAACATGACATACAAATAATTAGGAAACTACTACTCCCGTTACTTCTCTGGGTGTCGGCGGTCAGTTTATGGACTTACTATGCTAAAATATGGAGTTTGATTCCCCTTAATGGACAGAGCACATTGTGTACCTTTGCACTAAACACAAACAGTAAAATATCGTTACACAATTTCGAAATATTTTAAGTTGCATAAGATTTTTTTAATCCATATAAGAGGATTTTATAATAAACGCCAGCTAAGTAGTTTACTTGCTTAATTTGTTTCAAGAACGAGTAGGATATATTTAGCCATAAACACAAACAAACAAACAAGAAAAATAACATGGCATACAGATAACAAGTGAACATTTGGCCCTTTCTTGCGCACTCACCCTTGAAAATAATTTTATAAAAATTAAGCCCACCCTTTATTTTTCAGGAAAATATTGATTTCTCTCTTAAACCCTTCCACTACTTTTGATGGAAAGCAATCCATAAACCAATCACCCCGTTAAACAAATAAAACTGTCTTAATTAGAAACTAGCTTGTGTTTTCATAATTTTAATTTTGTATTCTCTTCAGAATACATCACAAAGAATTTATAGACCTTTACCCTATCGCTCCTCTGGATAATCTTGTAAATGTTAACAAGATCACTTCCTACCTTCCTTTTCCTATGAGAAAATAAATTAAGATATCTTAACCTATCCCTATAAGAAAACCATTCCTTTCACTCTAGGAGTCACTGTAGGGAAGCTCTCTTCTGAATGTTTTCCAATATGTTAATATCCCTTTTAAGTAAATAGACCAAAATTTTACACAATATTCTAAGGGGAGCCTAAATAGTAATTTGTACAAAGAGACAATCTCCTTTTTTCACAAATGAATATTTCTATAAATACACCCTAAAATTCTTTTAGATTTAATACTAGCAACAAAGCATTGCATGATCCTTTTCTTCAGTCACGCTGGTGGATGAGTCCCAATCTATATTAAATGTTTACCCCAAACTACGATAATCCAATTGCATTACCTTGCAGTTACTATAAGCAAAAGCAATTTTACAACTGTATGTCCAATTTACCAATTGATCTGAGTAATTCTGTAATACTTCAACATCCTTAAAATAGTTAAAAATTCACAAAAGTTTAATGTCATCAACTTTAATAATGTACTAATTATTCCCCTATCAATATCAATAATGAAAATAAGAAAAAATAAAGGCCCAAGCACACAACCCCGAGATACACGATAGTGTTTTTCTCAGCCTTTCTAACGTGGCTAGAGCCATTTTTTCTTTTGAACAAAATTTCAATGAGGTAGGTTGTGTTTTTAGCCTGCTCAAAATTTCATATTTTTTAGAGTAAAATAGATCTTAGTTACAAAGCTTGATAAATTATAGTTGAATTTTATGGTATTAATATACCAACTGAGTACAAAGGTCGCAACTAGAAGAGATAATTGTTTGCTTTACTTCTTTATTTACTGTTCTATGTTTTAGGAAAAATAACTTTAAGAACTTATTTCAAAATAACAATATATACATATATAATAGTATAATAATTAGTAATTAGTGTATTTACAAATACTATGAACA